TTCCAGACCCAAAGGGCAGCTAGGGGCTATAGTCTCAGGGGTTCCACCAGGCTCTATCAGACCAGCAAACCTGGTGTCTCCTTTTTTTTTTCCAAATGCTTTTGAGTTTTGTTCTACATTGTTCTCCCTCTCTATCCAGGGTCTCCTACATAGATTCCCCTCCAAGTGGTTCACATTGGTAGCCAGGCACCATCTAGTTCTTCTGGTCTCATAGTCATATAGGCTGAGGATCGCATGGTGTACCAGTTGCTAGGACTAATGTTTTCCATGAATCTTTGGTTTTCTTCATTCTTCTTTGCTCTGGGTAAGGAGAGACCCATCATTGCATCTAGATGGCTGCTTGCAAGCTTTTAAGATCCCAGTCATTACTCACCAAAGTAGGAGATGGGACAAGTTTTGTGTAGTATGTTAAGCCAATTGAACTTGACGTCCCCTGCAACTATGGTCCCGAGCCCACAGGTTCAACTACTCAGTCCCTCTGGGTAGCTGGCTGTGACCAAGAAGTGACTACAACCTTGTCCCTTGTCAGCTCTGCTATATACATAGAAATTCTTACAGAACATACAAATACACTTGAAACATTGTCTGCAAACCCTATATATGGTCTTGGGCACACTCTCTCCTGCACAAACATAACTAATAGTTCAGCCTGTCCAGCCATCTATCTACTCATATGTCCATGTTTGCCTTCACTGACAATGCAGTATTGTATGTGCAAAAGGGGTCATCTTTGTTATCTGTACCTCCCTTGTACCTCTCTATGTCTTCCTCTTCCTCAGTGCCACCAGGTTGATCACTCACATTTGGTACATTGCTTTTCTCTTCACCCAAATCAGTACTTACCTCTGCCAATCTAACAGTGTTCCTTCCCCTCCCCTCCCACCTCTGGTAACCAACAAAGAAAATTTCCTTCCATATAGAAACCTTTCCTTAACTTTTTATAGTAATGGAATAATATAAAATTTGTCCTCTGTGATTGACTTACTTTATTCAGCATAATGTCCTCCAAGTTCATTGACATTATATGGTGGTTTACAGATTCTAGGTTATTCTTTAGGGTTGCATAGTATTCCATTGTGTGCATGTATCATAGTTTGGTTATCCATTCTTCAGTTGATGGACACCTAGGTTGTTTCCATATTTTGGCTAATGTAAATAGCACTGTGACGAACATGAGTGTGCATATATCTGTTCCCGCCCTGGCTCTCACTTCTTTAGGATATGTACCTAGTAATGGAATGGCTGGATCAAATGGTATTTCTAATTCCAACTTTTGAAGGAATCTCCATACTGCTTTCTACAGCGGTTGTATCATTTGACAGTCACAAGCAGTGTATGAGAGTCCCAATCTCTTTGCATCCTCACCAGCATTTGTTACTTTCTGTTTTGTTGAACTTTGCAACTAGTGCAAAGTTCAACAAGACAGTTGAACAAGACAGTTCTTCTGGTCTCGGTTGAAGCTTGAGTGGCCAGACTTTGTCTCACCTACTTTGGTCATGTTGTCAGAAGGAACCATTCCCTGGAGAAGGGTATCATGCTTGGTAAAGTGGAGGGTCAATGAAGAAACGGAAGACCTTCAATGATATGGATAGACACAGTGGCTGCAAATGGGCTCAGGTATAGCCAGGATCGTGAGGCTGGCACAAGACTGAGCAATGTTTCATTCTGCTGTACATAGGGTTGCTGTGAGTCGGAGATGACTCAATGGAACCCAACAACAACAAGATAGCCTATGTCTAGCTTATATATATATTCCCACCCTTGTTCATACTGAGTATCTGTGCATCTACTTGTAATTTATTGTTATTACTGTTACAGGAAGGTTGTGTTCCCTAGGGTTTTTATTGATTTTTGTTGAAAATAGGTTGCCAGGTTTTCCCTCCAAGGTGCCACTGGATGGACTCGACCTTCCAGCATTTTGGTTAGCAGCTGAATACTGGGGAAATCCTGTTTGTACCACCAAGTCTGAGTATGGAGATGGCCTTGTCTATGACCTGAAGTTGTCTGTGTGGATCTAACACTCTGTCAGACCTGGGGCCCTCTAATAAAAACTGTGTCCTGTCCTTAGCTTCACATGTCACTGACCACTCATTAGAACATACGTCAGGGGGTTTTGTCTTGTTTTCTTTTGTATTCTCACCGCTTAGAACAGTGCCTGGCACACACTAGTGTCATAATAAATTTTTGTTCAACATTGTTGAATAGCTGATATTCTGCAATTAAAGCAAATTTCTAGGGATGCATTCATGGCTAGTAGTTTTGGCAGTGGGATGAGGGCTGGGGTGTTGGTGTTTGAAGTGATATTTCTAATATCAAGCCTTTTGGAGGAAGTGGTAAAGATTTTTCCTTCTGAAGTCACCGTGCTTGAAGCTCTGATACTCAAGATGCTGATGATTAGGTGCTGGTTGAAGGGGAAGGTGCTACAGAGGATTTAGTAGTCATGTGGTACAAGGATGAAAAGGGATGGGGTAAGGAACAGGTAGGTTAACTATGGGCAACTTAAATATGATCAAATAAAATTAAATTTTTAGGACCAGCCTTGAACATTGCAAACTTGCATGCCCAAGAAGAATGCTTTTAGGGTCCTCAAATATCTTCCTGACCTGAATTTTATGAAGACAACTATTGTAGACTGTTAGTAGAATGTTAAGTTCTGAATTATTGTTTGTGATTTTATTCTAGAAAACAAGGAAGTTGGCACATTATAGGAATGTTTACTTGAAACATCCCCCTTGTATTGGAGAAGTAGATCAGAGGTTCTAGCAGCAGTGTTAGTTACTTCTGAACCTTAATCTGAGAACATTCCATCTCAGAGGCTGATATGATGGGGCAAGTTAGCCTCTTTGACCAGGAGCAGAGCACACCCTCATAACCAGCAGGACAAAGTCATCCCTGACCATCATCGATCACTCATGTCACAGACAGCTCATTGTCATATCCCACTGTCATATATACAGACAAAAGTAAAACGTCTTCTGTTTCTCTAGACTATGGAGTTTTAAGAATTTGCAGTGTGGTAATGAGCAAGGCACATGAAATGGTTAAACACCTTGCCTTTTGGTATATGTGAGTGGCTGGGTATTGTGATGAGAATGACAATTGATGTATAGCCATATAGAATCTGTTAACATTGATGCTGACACAAGGCACTGATAAAAGAGAAAAAACTTTGGGCTACATACAGATACTATTGCAAAGAACAACTGATTTTTGATAAGGATGCCTGGATTCTAGTCCTGCCTTCACTTCTAATTGTGTAACTTGAAGACTAATGTAACAAACCTTTTAAACTCTAAACTCAATGCTGTCGAGTCAGTTGCGACCCATAGTGACCCCTCCTTGGGTTTCCAAGGCAGTATCTCTGTGGAAGTAGATTGCCCAGTCTTCCTTCTGAGGAGTGGCTGATGGGTTTAGGAGTCTTAATTTTCTCTTATATAATAAGGAGTTGATCTAAATCAGGGGTCCCAAGTTTCAGGGACAGTCAAGTCTGTAAATGAATGAAGTGGCTCAATTTCAGACAGGAGTAGTGGGGGTTATACGGAACTGGACTCAGTTTTGGCTCAATGCTGTGGCTTGAATGAGAGAAGCTGGAAATCTGGACTATTTTATCTAATGAGTTTCAAGGTGCTAGAATTCTCTATTAGCAGGTTAGGTTCAAATTTCCGGCTGTGATCCCTGATTGCCTCTTTATTCTGTGGTGGCTGTGAGAATAGGCCTTGCTGTCCTTCAACTACAGGGAACATAATTGACCAAGGCTTCCAGCTAGTGTTAAAATATCCATCACTGCATTTGCACTGAGGCCATTCTTCCCATGGGCTGCACCCAGCCAGTGACCAAGAGTGGCAGGTATACTAAGGCAGGTCTGTTCCTGGAAGACAATCTCATGGCCAGTCTTGGCTCAAGGACTCCCATTGACTTTGCCAAACCTGTCTTAGACTACATAGCTATCTTGATACTTCTAACCAATCTTCCTTCTTTTCTTCAGTTGCGGTCTGACTTGCACTGAGGTCTTATCAGCTCCCCCCATGTTTTCTCA